GTGCTGGGGATAATTTCAAAGGAAAGCAGAATTAAATGGCAAACTCTCCACTGTGGCTGCATTGGCCAGACAGAACATTTACCTGCCATAGCTTTGCTATGATTAGTAACATTCACAATCTGCTATGTGAGAGTGTCAGAAAGAATCATTTGATGGCATGGTGGGGGACTCCAGTGATCAGCAGTGGAAGGAAATAGGTGATCAGCTCCTGTATGTCTTTTTCAAGCCCCGGGGTGTTACGCTGGAAGCAGGAGTATGTAATGTGATACCTACGGTCACCATGATTTCTGCAATTTTATGCCTATCAGGTTTTAATTTTAATTAACAAATGAAATGTTGCAAGACATTAGCCTTTAGAATAGTATTTATTCACAAAGCATGCCTGTACCCCCCCCCCAAAACAGGATTTTTTAAAATAAAAAAGGTGGGTGGTTGCAGCCAAATACTTTCCTGGCAAATGTGACCATCTGTTCAGAAAAACAAACGCGAGAGTTAGCTGGAATGGCAGGGCATAGCAAGGGCTCAGAAAGCATGCTTCTGAAACTGGCCATCAAAATCTGCTTCTTTGGTGGCCTGGTTACCTGTGAAAGTGACCATGATATGCTCTCACAATTCCAACTAAACTACCATTCAGTCAGTGAGGGGCTCCATCCAAAATATTTCATTCCAGTTGATATTCCAGCTGATCCTTTTTATTCTAGCTAGAATGAATTATTTTGGGTTTCTCCACACACTGCTTTTGCAGAACTTATGGTCCTATTGTATGATCCACAAATTAAATCAACATATTACTCATTGCCATCACTTCCGTCTAGCTTGGCCTGGTTCAGAGATGGGACTTTTGAATCAGCTTTCCATCCTCCACCTAGTGGCACAGCTACATTTCTAGAAAGGCAGTGTTTCAAAATCTCATAAACTTGTTTCAAAAGCTATTAAACAATGGGGACAATCACCAACCCACTCACCTCCATGTGAGTGTAGTGTCCTCAACATAGCAAAACATTGTAGGTGCTTGGCAGGGTGCTAATCACCTTTAGACTGTTTTGAAGGAGGATTCAACTACTACCACAGTTGATCCAAATTTCTGCATCTGCTTGTATTCAGCTGAGCTACAGGGGAACAAGTAAACAACCCCTCTCAAGGACTTACCTCACTTTATGCTACGGTTGTTAAGCAAATCACCCACATTCATTAAGCAAGACATCACATGACTGCACCTTGTGATTTTACTGCCAGCTTCTCCATTACTGTCAGAAGCCAGCTGTGAAGTGTGCAAATGGTGATCATGTGACTGTGGGGATGCTGTGATGGTCACAAGTGCGATGACCAGTTGTAAAGTTACTTTTTCAGCATGGTCCCTAAGAGGGCAGTTGTTCAGCGAAGACTACCTGAACTTTTGTTTTTTTTTTTTAATAGGCCAAATAAGGTACATCTGAGAGGTGGGAGTGAAACCCTTCTATCTCAAGTGACCAGGAAAATGATGAAATGGTGCACTCTTGTTTTGCCTTACTTTAAAAAGAGGCAAGGAAAAATAGGAACCTCAGGAAAAGCAACATTAATGAAAACCATACCTTCTAGAAATGTCTTTTCCCCAAAAACAAAACAGCCACCGGCTTTAGATACACATTTGCATGTAGGACCTTTCTTCAGTCTAATCAACGTATGGATTTTTTTCCTTCTTCACAACATTAAAATTCACAAATGTAATTTATATTCTTTTGTGGATGGAAGTTGTCTTGATATGAATGCTTCCAAAGCTATCCAGTCAGATTCCAATCTTTTTTTTAAAGTTCTCATCCCTTTTTGATTAATTGTAGCACTGGGTTAATCAGACCCATTAACTGCTTTTCTCATTTAGACTTTACAAAGATGCAGTTGCTGATGAAATTTAATTTTTTTAACCCACAATCAATAACAATTAAGAGCTCTTTTTAAATCTCATTGAAAGGGTTGTCTTTGGTTGTTCCTTTGATCTCAAGGGACAAAGGACTGGTCTAAGATCACAAACATCTCTGGAGTTGCATTTTCTTTATCGATAAGAATTAAATTAAAAGTCATGCCCAAAGAGAGATGCTCACCTCAGCAGAGGGTACATTTTTTAAAATGCTACGTGGAAAATCTGCCAAGCAAGAAAGGAGGTTTTCTCCAAATCACATTTTGTTTTGTTTATAACTTTATTAAATTTTAAAAACAGAAAGATAAAAACTAATGAGAACCGATAATTGAGAAAAAGAATAGAAGAATAAAGAGAAAGAAGGAAAGCAGAAGTGCAGAAAAATAGAAACAGAAATACAAAAAAAAAAGAATGATTTCTGACTTCTTTTACAGCAGATATAAGTAAAACATACCTTAAACTCTTACTCTAGGATTACAACATAACATCAATTTTTTCTACAATCTATTAATTTTACTAATAATCAAATCCATATACAGTGGGGCAAAAAAGTATTTAGTCAGCCACCAATTGTGCAAGTTCTCCCACTTAAAAAGATGA